CAGCTGGGTGTAGTTTATTATGAGCTGCTCACACCAACCAAAACCATCACGCTAGTGACTACAACTGATACATTTAAGCTGAGCATTGAAGAAAAAACAGCCACTATATAAGCAGAGAAACAACAAAGTGATTTTACAACATGACAATGCTAGGCCACATGTTGCAAAACAGGTGAAAACCTACTTGGAAACGCTTAAATGGGAAGTCCTACCCCACCCGCCGTATTCATCGGACATTGCCCCATCCCTTTATAACTTGTGTTGATCAATGGCACATGGCCTAGCTCGGCAGTACTTGCATTCTTATGAAGATGCTAAAAATGTGTCGACTCATGGTTTAGCCTCAAAAGATGTGTCGTTTTTCCAATGTGGAATTCAAATGCTGCCAGAAGGATGGGAAAAATTAGTGACATGTTTCTTACTAATTTTTGTAAATAAAACATTACTTTTGATGAAAAATCAGCGAGGACTTATTCAAGGTACTTTATATATATATATATATATATATATGCAAATGAAAAATAAAGTAGAAAAATTATGTGTAAAGCATTTTATCCTCTAAAAGGATTTCAGCACACTAGAATGTTGATGGAATTATATTTGTGCAGGAAGAGGAAGAGGTAATAAAAAAATACAAGTGTCAAAATTTTTTCTGCTGCTATTCATTAGCCTAACACTGTTCTGATATATAGAAATTTACATATCATATCATCCATATTAATCTTGTGTATAGTATATTTTCGATCAACACTTGGTTGAATCCACAGACACAAAAAGTAAACTGTATTTCATTTGAGATTTTTTTTAATCAAATTTTCTTTACTCTTTCAATTAAAACAATTTACAAATCTGAATGTTTAAAATGTGTGCTACATTATAAACAATTCATAATGTTGCATGACTCTTCAACATTTCAATCTTTCTTAAGTGTTTTCACTTAACTTAAATGAACCCCAGAGAGAAACGATTCAGAAGTTTTACTTTCTAATGGTCCAAAAACACCAACACTAGTGATGCTGACATTTCAGATATGCTACAGGAAAGCAATAAAGTGCTTCCTTTGACTAAAAAAGGGAAACTCAATAAGAAAAGTTGTTGTTATTTTATGTAAAGTAAAATAAAAAAAAAAAAACATTTTGGTACTATTTCTGGTTTCAGGCATTAAGGAACTCATCTTGGTTGATGGCAAACTGTGGTGTAGGCCACATGTTGCCCATTTGGTCTTTCTGAATGACACACTTAATTTCATAAGGAAAATAATATTTCTTAAAATTTTATTTTATTTTATTCTCACTTGTTCACTCACACACTCTCTCATACATAACCACAGACATAAACAATGATTATGTACAATGTTTCTTGAATTTTGTAAAATTTGTGGGGAAGTAACAGATTTTCACTAAGGGAGATCATATGTGGAAACATCTTTTGCTTTTGAAACAGAAACATTCATAAGAATTTTTTCTAACTCTGTCATCAATAATAATATAATACAAAGACTAATTTTTTTAATTATAAAAAAAATCTTTTCTAAAAAAATAAAATTTTCATATCATATCTAAGTTATGCACTTACATATATGTTCTTTTGTAGTGAAAGTAGATGAGGTACTACTATGAAAAATTACCTTATTTGACAGCATATAAGACTCACAGATGTATAAGACACACCCCAATTTCAGCAGGACAAATCAAGAAAAAATTAGTAAAATTAGTAAAATTATTAGTAAATGGTACAGCCTAGGTTATATTTATGAGGTATTATTTTTGTTAAACAAGCCATGACTAAACAAAAAATAATAGGAAAAAGGAACACAAGTCCATAAAAACTATTATATTCTTTATATGATTTGTACAACCAGCATCTTGTAAACATCTTATTGGAATAATTAGGATATAAAAATTCTGATTGTATTTATACCAATGCAACCAAAAGTTATCGCAAGAAAATATTAATGAAACAAATATATTTTACAAATATATAATTTGAATTTATTGCATATAATTTTAGTGAAACAAAGTAGTAATATTAAATGTGATGAAATTAATATAATGAATATTATCAATGATAACACTTTTAATCTGCATAATAGTCTTTTAAATAATGACAATAGGTATGTGAAAGTTACTCTAAAGTCTAAGCTAATAGGAGTTGCCAGGAAGCTAATTTCAGCCAACTATCACAAATTTTAAACCTACATATGGCATATAAGACACGGGGGAATTTTAAAAGATATTTTTAGGAAAAAAAAAAAAAAAAGCAAATATATGCTGTCAAATACAGAACACTAAATCTTTTTATTAGTGTGGCCCACCTTCTGATGAGCCATAGATCATGCAGCACACTGCTTGAAAAAGGTTACCCATGCCCGATATAGATATTTTTACAGACACAAATTTTCAGCCAAGTTCTTTTGTCATCAGTTTGGCTGATATAGAATATCTGTTGATTGAGTTATTTTGTTCCTGTAATGTCAATTACTGTTTGATCCTACTGAACTAGTGCTTCACTACCTGATCCAGAGATTGAACTCACAATCACTATATGACAATAGCACATGTAAAACCAACTCCTATATCCACTACAGCAATGAGTATTTTTGGAGCCCTTATATTTAATGGCAGGTGGTTTCAACATTTTGTTATCATTGCCGATTTGAACTGCTTTTCATAATTTAGTATTTCATTTTGAGATGATTAATTGTCAATATACTTTATTTCAACCGACTGTTCACATCTTGGTTGATGAGAACCATCAGTCAGATTGTACTCAGTCAAAATATTGTGTTTATAGTATTTATCTACCAAGATGAGAATAGTTCAAAATAATTAAGGCATATTGGCAACTACTCATTTCAAAATGAAATACTAAATTGGTTCTCTGTCATCATTTCTCTTTTTAGTACTACACAGTTATTGCTACCCAGCTTTTACACAAACCAGAAATGTGACTCCATATGAGCTTACAAGAACCAATAACGGTGATGAGTGAATAAACAGATTTTTCCAATCAAATATTATCAATAATGATCATTTATTATTTATGTCAATACTTCTATGTTATTATTATATAACCCTTCATTGTTTTGTTATTGATTTTTGAAACAACTCTATATTCATTCACCATCACCTATTATTTATGTCAATATTTCTATATTATTTTTATGCAACCCACCAGTGTTTTAAATCAAGTAGGTAAATAACTTCTCAATATTTTCTTCAAATTATATCAAAATGTTTCTTGACACTTGGAAATAAAAGTTTCAGTTTCCAATAGTAATGATAATATTAGCCTTTTATTTATGGGAAAACATTCGGCATTCATTAACCGAGCAGTCAGTACTGATTTTGGTTGAAATATATAAAATCTTTTTCTGAAAAAAAAACTACATGGAAAATAGGTTTCTCAAGTCCTGTATCTGTTATTGCTTCTTTCCAGTAATGTAAAGAAGGAAGTTTCCTTCCTCATCTTTTATATGCAGTAGTGTGGAACATCAACATCTTCATTATGTCATTATTTTCTCTGAGTGTTACATGTGATATCCATTTTAGTTGTTGCTGCTGTTGGTAGTTCTCAAGTGATGTAATTTCTGTTATTTGGCATAGTTTTTTGTGAATCGGTAGCAACATTTCACCATGTTTAAAGGATGATGATTTTTGCCAAGATCCTCAGACTCCACTCAAAGCCTTTTTTGACCACTGATCTTAGAAAGCAGTTGTATACAGCTGACAGTTTAGATATTTCTGAATGTGTGTAGTGTCATGCATGACATCCATATGAAAGTCTCAATCTAACAAGAACATTAATTGACTTTTCAGGCTGATAGTTTTGTTGCAATTTACAATGCTTAGTCAAAACTACCTCTGGTGCACCCTATTCTATGTTCAATTTTCTTTTCCCCTATATTAAGTTTGTTATAACTGACCCATATGCTAAGATATTTGAAGTGTTTAGTATTTATTAATTCTACATCCTGAAATTTTATGACGGATTCAGTGTAGATGCCACCACTGCTTTCATCTCAAATTCCAGATCATAGTTTCTGTTTTGGAAAGGTTTATCTTGAGTCCTATTTCTTAAAACACTTGATAAAAGATGTTGATTTTCTATCCAAGATCATTTTTATCCCAACTAAGCCTATATCATCAGCCACCACACACATCATCAGTACCTTGGCCTTCAAAGGGAAAGCAGAATTTTGTCTTCTTTTGGTGAATTTGTTTCAGATGTGGTATGGAATGCTTAAATGATCAGTGTCCGTCTCTTCACATCTGTATTTTTAAATATGCAAGACAAAGTGTTATAAAATAAAATAAGACATATCTCGGCTGATTTACAGGCAAATAAACTAACATACTCAAGAGCGAGAGCCAGATGTGAATGGGACAAGGCCCCGTCACAAAATGACCATTATCTTCGTTTACGCATGTTCCTAATGCATGAGTTCTGGTCGAAAAATAAAATAATATGTTAAAGTGTTTCTATTTTTCGACCAATAAAAATGCTTCCCTCCTAATTATACTCACATCGTTTCTTGAGCCTGTTAAGCCATAAAAAAAAAACGCCATAAAAGGGGTCACACGGAAAGTACAACAGGCAGTCAACAGGAGGCCAGGGAAGAGACCTGTCATGGTGAGGCTGAGCGGTCAGCAGCAGTCAGCAGGGGGAACGCTAGCGCCAACCAGTGTGAACTACTATGAGAGATCAACCCAGATCTTCAGCCAGCCTATGAACTATACCACAAGGTAGCTGTCCCAAAACCACACATTCCTATTGAAATAAATCACATAAATCTATTTCTGCTGTTGTCGTATTTCTTTCTTGCAACCATACGCTTGTCTATAACAAAAGTCTAGGTAAAGATTTAAGAGAGTGATAAAGGTAACAAAAATAAATGAATTTTTGTAGAGCATATTTTAAGCAAAGGCCAGTTATATTTGAAAATCAGCAGTATTAGAAATATCTATCAAATAAAAAGTGATAATAAAAAGAAACTCTACCATCCATGGAGAGTCGTCCTCGATGAAGATGATTAAAATAATTCAGAGATCCCCAATATTCTTCCAATTTATTATCTGAGTGGCCTCGCCATTTTGCTCGTTTCTTTTGAATTTTCTGCATGGGAGTGCACCTTCCAAATTCTGTCTCTGTTAAAAATATCAAAAGTTACAATTGAGTGAATATAGTAAGATAAATAAATTGAATTAAAAACAATACAAAGCTTTGCGTAATAAAAAATTAAAAGTATTTCTTTCATTTGATTTTGCAAATAAAAACAAAGAAAAAAGATGCAAAATATTATGAACATTGTATATTTATCAGTAAAAATGACATGTCTGGTCAAGCTGCTGGTATTGTGTAAGGGTCTGATGGGGAGGCCAGTTTAGTCACTGACCATGAAACAGGTTGGACTGGGTTACACTATACCAGCATGACCAGACATGTCATTTTTACTGATAAATAAACAGCTTTATTGGATGAACCTGATGGTTAGGCTAATAGTTGGGACACTCATTGAAATAGTCAACTGCATGATGTCAATGAAAATTTGATGGTGGGTAGTGTAATGTTTTAATGTTTGGGACTAATGAAATTATAGACCCATTCAAATTTGATGATGTTATCAAAATAAATACAGAGAATTGCTGTAAGTTTTTGGGTAAGACATTTTTTTTTTGATTTGTGCAGGTCACAGCCACAAAATTTTAAGGTAAAGAGATTATTCATATATGACAATGATCCTTCATATTCTGTAATGTTGACTATTGTCCAACTTGCCAAAAATGTTTTCAAAGACAACAAATTAATGCAATAGCCTCCTGCCTCTCCAAATATTAATCCAACAGAAAACTTGCGGTCTTCCATTAAAAGTGATGTATATGGAATATATTCAAGCAAAGTAGATCTTTGGGAAGCAATAAAAAAATGCTAAAAGTAATGTCAAAGTCAAAACAATAAAAAACTTTTATCACAGTCAATAGATAAAAAGACTCATTAAGGTTATAGAATGACAATGAAACCATATTAACATTGTTGTAGTGTAAACAAAGAGTGTGTTGAGATTGGAGGGAAACATTTAACCGATTGCTCTCCCAGCCACTATGGGGGTAATAGGCAAGGATGGGAAAGAGACAGGAGGTAACAAAAATGGCACTGTCTCTGAAATCACAGCAACTTTAGGAATAAACTGCCTATGGGTCCAACTTCGCAAGACACTGTGTTTCACCAACTGCTGGTTTTCTCAGTGATTTTATTAGTATAAGGCATCTTAAAAAGATCTGGATCTTGATCAGTTGCAGTGAGGCCTGTATCTAGACATGCCAAGTTGTTCTGCTGCTAACAAGAAAACCCAGATGTACCAACACACATTTTCCACAAACATGTAAAACAATAATTGACTCAAGTATATAGGATATGGTGCTCATCACATACAGATTTCTGTAGTGTAGATATTTTTTATTTAGCTATGAATAAAAATTTATGCTGCATTTTTTTTTTTGCATAATCTTCAAAACAAGTCAATCAATATTTTAATCTCTAAAACAAGTCATACTCAATATTTAAAAAAAAGGAATATATATATTTTAATAATTTGGCCATTTGTATTCTAGTGGCATCATCGCCTTGCTTAGAGTAAAACAATTAAGAAAAAAAAATCAATCTAGATCATGATCATAAATAACCCTAACCATTAGCCCTATATAAAAGAACTGGAAAAGACCAGTTTCTGTCTTCCCCATGTCCCTAATACCCCATGAGCATATATATATATATATATATATATATATATATATATATACAGTGGGTAGCAAAAGTATTTAACACATTGGTTTTTCTTACATATCTCAAAAAATAACAGATCAATTTCAACGAAACTTGTAGGAAATATTTAAACGAACCTTGTTGATCAAAACATAAAAGGAAAATTTAAAACCACTGTTTTGAGAAACATTTATTAACAATAAATAAAATAACCCATATGCAAAAGTATTTAACACACTTTACTAATATTTGAGGAAAAAAAACCACACATCATAATATTTTCACCCCCATGTTTGACTGTAGGGATGGTATTTGCTGGCTCGTATTCCACTCCTTTTTCCTCCATACATAAGTGCGCATGTTTCGTCCGTAAAGCTCAATTTTCGTTTCGTCTGACCAAATTACTTTCTCCCAGAAATCATTAGATTCAATTTCATATTTCTTTACAAAATTCAAACGGGCTTGTACATGTCGGCGTTTCAGTAATGGAGTCTTTCTCGGTGATCTTGAAGTGAGAACTGCACGATTCAGTGATCTTTTAATTGTATCTTTACTAACTTCAATTCCAGCATTTTTCAAATCATTCTGAATTTCTCGACGAGTTGAAAATGGATTTTTCTTCACAGTACGGGAAATGTATCGCTCATTAGCCTCATTTAAGATATGGGGACAACCACTCCTTTGAATGTTTTCAGTAGTATCGAATTTTTTCCATTTTCAAACAACAGCACCAACTGTACTCACAAGCAAATTCAAATCTTGAGCGATTTTTCTATATCCCTTAGCATCTTTGTGATTCTTTATGATCTTCTTGCACATGTCGTTCGACATTTCTTTTGTTTTCATCATTTTCTTGCAGTAGTGGCAACAGAATAGCTGTAGTGTCTCAGAGCTGTTATCTAATAGCCAGTTGAGTGTTGTGCAGTGCTGTCATTGGTCGACATATCACATCATATCAATATGGGTAGGAATCATGATGACATGTCTCTTCTAGTATATTTGCATTGGTGTTAAATACTTTTGCATATGGGTTATTTTATTTATTGTTAATAAATGTTTCTCAAAACAGTGGTTTTAAATTTTCCTTTCTATGTTTTGATCGACAATGTTCGTTTAAATATTTCCTATAAGTTTCGTTGAAATTGATCTGTTATTTTTTGAGATATGTAAGAAAAACCAATGTGTTAAATACTTTTGCTACCCACTGTATATATAAATGTGTGTGTGTGTATAGCATTTAAATGTTATTTTTAATGGATACCCATATCTGAGTAGACACTCCATTTTTTTGATTTTCAAACAGTATATGATCGTCTACTGGGCTGAATACTTGAGGAATTTTATTAAAGGAAAATATACGCTCTCTGTTAGGATTTGAACGTGCACTCCTTTGGCAGGAAAAACTGTCATTGAATCTGGCATGCTTATACCGACTCAGCCATGAAAGGCATTGCTGATAAAGCAAGTCTGAATAGTGCCTTGAAGCGAAATCTTTATCATAGATTCTTGAAACTACATATATCCATGTTTTGTAAAAAATTAAACAAAAACAATTTTTACAAAACAATTTCTAAAGAAATATTGGATTTTCTATTCATTAATCAGGCAGATTTTTATCACTTAAACATTATTTTAGTTTTATTTGAGTGAACTCTATATTTTTAAACAATATTTTATTTTTGAACCATTCTAATCAACTTAAATTTTCTGATTTTTTAAACAAAATAAATTTATATATATATTTCTTTATATATATATATATATATATATAAAAAATATTTCAGTCGCATTGTGATTCCCCACCCGATGAAATGTTAATTTTTTTTTAACATTGAAACAAGATGTACAGTTTTGTAGTGGGTATGTGCATGTTCTAATGTAACACTGCATAATAATTAAATATATGTGTGTGTGTGTACACAACCCCCTATAGTATTCATGGCATTGGTCTAAAGATTCATATGTCTACACTGTTTATATACATATATAAAATAACTGAAATAAATACTGAACACTAGAAAAATATTTATTTAATAAATTTCTGATGCTTACATTTAAATTTGTAAAAATGATGCATTTTGATATAAAATTAAGCAAAAGATCTATTTTAAAACATACAATATAGAATAAAATTTAAATGAAAGTAACAGTGGAAAAATTATTCCAACAAATGGTTTGTCTGCCAACTTACCATCTATGTCCATGTTAAATTGATCTTCAATTTGGGATTCAACAGCTTTGTCTGGAAAATCCTCATCAAGAATTGTACGTAAAGGGGTCGATGTTACACTGAAGAAGATAAGCACATCAGAATTCATTTTGTTTGTTTTTGCAATGGCAATACTAAAAGTCATAGGACTTCAGGATTGTGAGAGTAAAGGAAATTTTGAAGATTTTTTTTCTGAAAATTATTTTTATAAGGCACTAGAGATTGTTTTGAACTGGGTTTTAATATACATTCCTAATAATTATTAAAATTATATATGTACAAGAGTTCATAAACTGACACTGATGTTATATATATATATATATATATGTGTGTGTGTGTGTGTGTGTGTGTGTGTGTATGTATGTATGTTTATGTATGCTAGCCAGAAGCCACTCTTCCTTGCAGACTTTAAGTTAGCTCCTGTTTGTTTATGTTAAAATACACTTCAAACATATATGAGCATTTGAGAGAAATTGTCGAAGTTTCTAGTTTAAAAACAGTAATTTAACCTTGCTAACCAGACATTTCCTCTGTAGCTAAATGGTATAGCACATCAGGATATATGACAGTTCCATGTAGAAAATAGGTTTGATTCCTGTTGAAGGACACATATTTTCTTTGAGATTTCTCCGACATTCAGGCCAGTAAATGTTGTTAATACTGTTTATTATAAACAGAGCATTTACTTAAATATTTGTATCTATAAAAAATAACGTATATACAAAAAAATATATTAAAATAATTGTTGGACTTAGTCCATTTCATAAAGGTTGCTGTCCAAATATATATATACATACACACTATAGTGTAAGAAAAACAGTGCTCAATGTTAAATAACATCTTTAATATATTATGTGTGAGTGTATATATATATATATATATATATAACGTCATCCACAGACAGACTGTTTCGCTGTTTCACAGTTCATCAGTGTGTGTGTATATATATATATATATATATATATATATATATATACACACACACACGCACACACGCTCATATGAGTTAAGAAATATATATCTGTTCCTCACCACTTGATAGTTTTATTCACATCGCAATTGTTTTTAGAAAATATTTTTTTGAAATTTGTGCCTGACTGCTATGTGCATGAAACTTTTAGCAGTATTAAGTGATGAGGAACAGATATAGAATTCTTCAATATAGACATTTTAGCTCTGTTATTTTACACTGAGCACTGTTTTATTACTACCAGCACTCATTGTACAGATTTATATGCACACACAAGCAAATTAACTTATATTTCTTTGAAATTCATGTAGAGATGTGCTAGTCATATTCCACATTTTTCCTCGACCTTCTTTCTCTTAGCACAATATTGTGGCCTTCTTCAGGCTTCTACAATATCTGAAATGCTAAGATGAACAATTGTCATTTTTCCAAAAGTTATTCTGATGAGTATCCTCATCCGTGTTGCTTTTATCAATGCATTTTAACAATATGTTCTTCAGGTTTCATTGTCTGAGATAAATCACTGTCATTATGCTAAAAGTTATTCAGACTAGCATTCTCATTCTTGCTAGTTTTATCATTACATTTCACATTGATGTCTATTTTGGTCATCATTGTGGAATAATTAATACCCTTTATGCAAACACTTGTCTATAGATTTACCATGAATAAAAAGTTTATCAATGAAAACAAAAATTTTCATAATCTCTCGATAATATATTCTGCTTTTAAAAAAGTTATAAATTCTTATTTATACCGTGTTACCCAATGAGGATTGGAGATTTGGAAAATCATTTAACTGAGAAGAAAAAATGTTGAAGAAAGAAGTAAAACCAATAACAAAGTTGAAGATACTCCCCATCTAAGTTCACTCAATATTTGCGCACTAAAATAACTCCAGAAGCTTAAGATCCAATCTTTAGAATAATTTTTTTTTAAAATGACTGCATTAAATAAAATTGATATCTCCAGAATGCAAATAACTGTATGAATAAAACCAAACCTTGGTGACGAACAGACTCCTGAACCATCTCTTTTAACTCTTGGCCTCAAGTGGGAATTGGATTTGTCAGGCTTATTTCGTAGTTTCAGAATTGGCTGCCGTGGGATTTCAACACTGTCCCCCATACACTGGTCAATGAGTTGGTTGGTGTTATCTTTTGATAACAATGGCCGATCCAATTTCTCTAGTGGCTCGTGCCAGATTTTGTCAGTGAGGCTCAGAGATGTTTGTTTGAGATCATCTAGTGGCTGGGAATTGCGTCTGCGAGTGGATTGACAATGTGAACTATCTGGCTGCTTCTCACAGTTTTCAGAGATTTGGCACACTGAAATCATAACAATTACATGTTCACATAATGTAATAAGACAAAAGAATCTATATACAATGGGTGTCTTGTTATATATATAAACTTAACAATGACACCTGATGTAAGAGAAAGCATTGTTAACCAATATTATTAATAAATCAATTAAAACTGCAAAAGCCAGACTGATATATTATTTTTAATCAATTCACCCCGAGCAAGGCAATAACACTACTAAGATGCAAGGGACTACTGGGAGTGAAAGAAAATGAAAAAAAACTTTAGAAGGTTTGTTTGTTTGTTTGGGTTTTATGGCATATCAACTACTGTGGGTTATTTAATGCCAAATCCAGTTTATATGAATTTTAAATGCCTATTTTGTATGGAATATTTTTAGCAACCTAGAGCTTATTTGCTTGCACACTGCAAAGTAATGCTAGGTATTTTTGTTTAAGCCATGAATTTCTATTTGATAAGGACAATTTATTTGCAAAATGATAAAAGGTAGGATATGTTGTTTATGCATCAGTCTATATCTTTGATAAGAGACCAATTCTTGGAAACCAAATCCTAAACAGGAAACCAGGGATAAACCTCTACTCCTGTTCAAAAGACCACAGAGGAGGCAAAACTATCTACTCCTATTGAGTAAAAAATAAATAGTAAATAAAATAACAGAATTTACGCTGAAAGATTAGAAGTATGGTATTGATGCAAAATTTAGAAGGAAATGGATACCCAATCCTAAACATGAAACAAGGGATAAACCATTACTCCTTATTCAAAAGATTGGGGAGGAGTGTGAACCAGATTATAGGTGAACCTATCTACTCCTATTGAGGAAAAAATAAATAATAAATGAAATAACCAAGTTGAGGTGGAGAAATTGGAAGCATAGAGTCGAAGTAGACTTTAAACCTCCTATTTTCCTGTCTTAGTAGGGTTGGGAGATCAGATAAAAAAAAAAAAAAGATATAAGCTTATCAAGTTAAATTTTACAGCCAAGTTGAAGAACAAGACATGTTTTTTGGCTCTCTATCTCACTCAATGTCTCATTTAACATTTAAGAGGTATGCTAAAGACACTCTTTAACAGAACCAGCACTCACCAAAATGACCAGTAAGATTGCAAATACAATAAATGCAGCTATCTGTGGACAAATATTTTTTAATTAATCAAAAATTAGCAAATACACTTGAACAGGAAGTGGGGGATGATGATAATAATATCATTGTAAGAACTCCCATAAAACATAAAAATTTCTTGGCATTAGAGATGCCATCTTTGTTTCCTGAAATGATTCCAATCTGTATCCTAAACCGTGAAGACTGAAGGTTACCTTTTTATCATAATCTCGGAGCAAAGCTCTTCATATTGTTTGTATTGGTGAAACACTTTTTCAAAATAAAAATTTTTCTAGCATATTATTTAAGTTATATCAGCCGAGCTAAATATATTAAAAAATGTGTGTGTATATAAGAAATAATTTAATGAAGAATATAGAGAATAAAGTAACAATGGGTAATCATTTGAATTGTCGCAACAAACCAATTTGGAAAGCTTTACCCAAGAGGAAGGTAATCTGAACTCCAGCACATCACCTCAGAATAAAGTGTATAAATTCTACTTAGTGTGTAAAGCCAAATGAGAATCTGATGGAATGGTGTATATATATATATATATATATATATATATATAAAAGACAATTTGGAAAATATACCACTTGGCTTTTTGATTACAAAGTCTAAGTAAATGAATATAAAATCTAATTGCATTTAAAAATTAATTTTGGCAAATTTCAAGAGTAAACCTGTATTTCTTGGAGGCTAAACAAATCATTGGAACAGTGAATCAAAAAGGAAACTATTAATACTTTATCAGAATTTGATATAATTTCCACTGAAATTAAATGGGAGACTTCTTAGGAATAACAAGTAATGCAAGTAATTTTTTGCAACATTAATCCAATTTTAGTAAATAAATAAAAATTTAGTGTTACCATGGATGAGAAAAAGTAGTAATTAGGAATATTTATTCCTCTGGAGCGAGAAAATTGGAGAATGCTGAAAAGTTCTCAGCTTAAACAAGAAGTCCTCTCCACTCAAAAAAAAAAAAAAATGTTTGATCATTTGGTCAAATTTTTGTAAGTAGATTGGGTTGAGAACGTTTTAGCCATCCCTCGTACTTTTTAATTAAATGTTCTGCTTTTTTTTTTTTCATAACAATGTATTACTTATAACATTAAAATCATAATTAGTAGTAAAAACCATTACTTGAATCTATTTACTTACAAATATCTTCATCATCATCTTCCAGCCAATCAAAAGAATCTTTATTTTTCTTTACTCTGAGAAAAAAAACAAAATCCAAATAATTATAGTAAAAATCTTAAATATCTTATTCTGCACAATTCAATGAAGAATTAACAAGCAAACATGCAAATACAGATACTACTTTTCAGTATGCATTATCTATTCAGGCACACAATATTAAAATTACAAAAAGCTCCACACTGTGAGTAAGCAAAGCAAGACAAGATCATAGCATTTGAATTCTTAGAAGTATTGTCAATTATTATTCATTTTTAACTAGTATTCTTTTCATCTTATTTCTCTTGCTTTTCATTACATTAGTAATTGTGGTTGGAGAACTGAAGGAAAAAGCAAATAAAGAAAAAAATGACTTATTACTGGCATATGCATCGAATGTAAAGAAATTCAGAGGAAAAAAAAAAACAGATGGCTATTCATAAGGTGAATATTTAAAAATGTTACATTCTCAGAAATATGAGATTTTGCTGATAAGATGCAAATTTCCAACCGTTGAAAAGAATATAAAAATTGCATTACCAATGAGACAAGGGGAAATTGTTTTAGATCCTATAATCGTCACATAGTCAAGTGTGGGCTTTCTGTGGTGGATGAATGTTTAAAAGCACAAGAGATCAGGAAGAGAACAAGAAGAGGAGGAAAGAAGAAGAAATTTATTGTTGCCAAAGTAAACATCAAAGAACTGACAAGAAAGACAGTGAAACTGATTCTCTCACAAGTGAACACAAACTACAGTAATATTAGATAAAATCCCAGTGCTCAAACTAAAGAACAATCTTATATTATTTGACTCTTCGATAAAACATTGTCAATTAGTATTCATTTTTTTTGACTAGTATTTCTTTTGCCTGATTTCTGTTGCTTTTTATCATAATTTCCAGATCAGTATTCTATGAATGAAGTAACCAGTGTTGATCAAAAATAAATTAACAGTCTCTCACAAGATTTGAACTTACATCCTTTAACCTTGAAAACCTACCTTACCAATTAGCTGACAAAGGCTGGTTAGTAGGCAACATTCAAATATTATCCTATAGATTTATTCATTTTTCTCTCTGAACACCAATACACTGATATCTTTGTTAGCATACACTTGTTGTATTAAAAATAATATTATCCGAATGTCTTCTGTGAAAAATTGTCTATTATTACTGATTTTGTACTAGTATTTTTCAGCTTAATTTCATTTTTATTTCAAACTAGGATTGTCATGCTATGATTATTTGTGATCAATACAGATTAGAAATAAACAGCAAGCCTCTAGCAAGATTTGAACTCACATTCCTTATCCTTGGGGCTTGCCTTTTAAATGACAGTGACTTATTAATTAAATAATGAAGGCCAACCAAAAAGAGTCATCTATTCATATTTCCCTAAAGGCTCATATGTTACCATCTTGTATGTTTACATTTTAAACTCATAAGATTATTCAAATTTGTTAGATGAAAATTTGTTGATTTTTACTTCTAATTCTTTCATGTTATTTCTGTTGCAATTCGCAGTCATTTTGTGATTGTTAGTAATCAACATAGAATGAAAATAAACAATCTTATGTAAGAGAAGTTCCTCATTTCTGGTTTTCACTGTATGTTAATGATTGGAGAGAGATAATCTGGTAGTTGAATTAAAAAGCCACATAAATAAATGAAGGAAATACTAGTTAAAAATTAATAGACAAGATCAGTATGACATTGGTTCACAACTCAAATTCTTACAAATAATGTTCACCTTTTTTATGAATACTAAAAAAGTTGGAAGGGTACATTTTCTATAAAAGACAACTATAGTCTTGTCAACAGGAACTGTTTTACTTGGCTAACATTATTGTAAATGTAAAAATATTATTTTTACAAATAAGTAAAATGATCTGTGTAAGTCCCAAAAATGGTTACAAAATTTCCTGAAGAGCTATAGCCTCGTTTTAAACTTAATTATTTTTGTCTTTAATTTGCTAATTAAATTTGAAATGTTTTTTGGAGCTATAAAAAAATATTATTTACAAAAAGGAAAATTTTGTAAACAATATTTTTTCAAAATCAATTTTGTAATTTTTACTTTTTTTATTTTCCTGACATTTTTGATTGCTTAAATGTTGAACGATTTTGTAAAAACCAAGAATGAATTGAATCATATATTTTCATTGATATTATTGGTACAACTAAGCTTCCATTTAAAATATTACAAATAAAATCTCACAGAAACATTAGTCTGAAAATGTAAGTGTCTGCAGTAATGTGTTATGTGTTGCATATGTGATTGTAAGATAACAAACGAAAATGGCAAAGTCAGTGAGGTAGAAAGAAAAAGAGACAAGATATGTTAATATTGCCGGTATAAGTCCCTTTATGTGCAAAGGAAGTGACCTGGAGTATAAAGAAGTCAGTTGTGTAAAGGCTTTTGATGTTGCTTGTGTTGGGTTGGTTGATTGGAAGGCCACTGGTAAATTCTGTGATTGACTAACTACTGCCTTGAGTGCAGCAAGTAGGCCCTTTTAACCAGTCAGGGTATATATATATATATATATATATATATATATATATATATAACTACGCATTTTTTGTCATGCTTTTAATTCTGCAGCACCATTCATAATTGGCTCTGTGGTTTAAATTGTATTTTATATTTTGTGGGACTGGGGGGGTTGTGAGATGGATATGGCACTTGGAGCCCCTGTTCAGAGAGCAATTTTTTATTTTTTATTTTGCTTTCATAGCACTCCTATCCAGCTGGCAGGTTTTGATATGGAATGAATCAGAAAGACATCTAATTTGAAGCAGAATATAACAAATGTAATATACCAAATATGTCTATTATTTACATTATTTGGACTATTGTCCTCATCTTTGTTGCCATATTTATCACAATGTTTCAGCTGTTGTACACTCCACCTTCTTCACATGGTTGGAATGCCAAACTGAACACTTTATTTCCTCAAGGACACATGGCACAGTGGATAAAGGCGTTAGTTAGACCCAGTGACAGGACCCAAAGAGTGTGAGTTCAATACCTAGTTAAGGCAGTGGAGAACTTGGAGAGGTGAATTAACAGGAGATAACTGATAAGTGACATCCATTATACATGGCACTAGACCAGTCTACCCCAGTGAGCGAAATAAAGGGTTCAGTTTGACATTCCAACTACCTGAAGAAGGCCGGAGAATACAACGGCCAAAACGTGATAAATATAGCAACAAAGATGAGGACAATAGTGTAAATAGTGTACATAATACCTCATTTCAGAAATATAGACAGATACCAAATATATCATGGTAAATTTTCATTCATATCTAAGTGTATACAATGTTCAAACAACTTATCTCTTGACCAATTTCAAAGTTTTACAGACACATTGCTCATCAGTATTAGAATGTCTGATAAATCTATTGAATTATACCAGATATATATCTATATAATAAATTCTAATCATAGACCCCAAACAAATCAAATTTGTACTATGCTGAAGAACTTTTCAATATGTAAATATTTAAAATCAGTTAAAATGTCGAATTTCATATCTACACCCTTGTGCAAATTAATTGAAACAACTGCTTTAGTTTCCTTTCTTTCATTATACATTCAGTTTTAGACCCACTGGTGTGACAGGGTTTAATTGATTTTTATTTTTTTTCTTCAGATTAGGTCCTTTGCAGTGGTGTACAGTAATATGAATCTATTTTCAGGGTATATGATGAAATTTGTTTGGCCTTGAAAAATATTGCATTATCCGTGATTGCATCAGATTTTTATTGCACCAAGACACTATATTCTCTTGACTGTCAATTAATTGTCTTATGGTCATTGTCTGCAATGGACATTACTCCAAGGATGTGTACAAAAATTGTAATGCTGCACAAACACACTGGCAAGCCTTACCAATGATTAAATCATAGTACTATAGACTGGCCCAGAAACTCTCCTGATTTAAATCCAATCAAGAATCTGTGGTCAATCTGTAAGGAAAGACTTCGTGGAATGGACGTATGTAGTACTAACATGTGCATTGGCTCATGTTTCATTGGAAAAATATAAAAAAAGAGTAAATAGTGGAATTATTCGTTTCATTTCAATTAATTTGCACAAGGGTGTTTGTGTGTGTGTCTATATATATAGAAAAATAATATAATTTTACCATTATAACATAATTTTGTAAAAATATCTTAGAAAATGAAATAAATTCAGTAAATACGTCAACATTCATTTAATAGAGTATGATTATATCATGTAATAAATAGGATTCTCTGACCCTGATGACCTGTGTTCCATGAAACTGGGAGATAAATTGACTGAAATTTTATTGATTTATTGACTATTTTCACTCTAGTTTTCTATTGAGTAGTTTGACAAAAAATCTTCTCACTTTGAAATACATGAAATTTTGTATATGTTGATGAGTTATTGATTTCAGTTATTATTATTATCATGATGATGAAATAAAATGATATAAAAAGAAAAATTACTTTTGGTAACTTAAAATTTTAAATCTTTTTCAGTTTTCAGTGTCTTTGTACATGAAGTGAGGGATTGATAAAGTCAGGAAATGATTTTTCTATGGTTATCAAGTAATAAATAAACTGATTATGGACTTGTTTATAAGAATTTTAAAGCATTGCCATAATTTAAATATTGAAGAATTAATTTCAGATTTAACTGGAATAAAATAACAAAAACCTAAAACCATAAATATTATTGAAGCATACTTAAATCTGATTCGAGACCATTTTGTCTACTGACCACATAATGTTGAAACAACCATTCACCAAAGTTAAGCAATATCAAGCCTGGTCAATACCTAGATGAGTGACTGCTTGGAAATGCCAGTTGTTGTAAGTTTGAATGTACAGGTGCTATAATGGATAATAGATTGGAATTGTTAATCCAAGAGACAGGTTTCAATTCCAGTTGTGTTCATTATATTCATTTACGCACAAATATCCTTGGGAAAGGTATTAATCTATCTCTTCTCCCCAACTATGGGTTAATTAATAAGATGTGTATCATTAAATCATTATCATCTAAAAAAAATTACAATCTAAATATATTTCCTGGCTTTAAATAATCTACAAAGGGTTGATAAGCTGTAGAAAAATCAATCAGTCAATTTGTTTTAGTCTCTATTTTTGTCATCCAAAATTAACTTTGAATATACCTTGATTGATGAATATCAATAAAAAAAACTTAACACTGTATTTAAAAACTTTTAAAAAATAAAGTAGTTGCTACAGAAATATAGGAATTAATTGTTATTTAAATGGATTTTAAAAAATATTACTTTTTAATTAAAATATAGTGAAAAATGCATTTCTTTACAGTGGATGTCTGTCACCTAACAATTAGATTCAAAGGTTCAGTGTGTATTGAGTCAGATTTCCTTAATCATATGGGTATTGATCCACACATGGCACAAGGTCATGTTTAAAGTGGGATTTCAGCAACCATTCAAAAATTGCTAGAGCTGCTCAGCATTTCCCTCTTTGGGAACACCTTTACGCACAAAAGGAGAGCTCATGACTGTGGGGATGTGTTTCATTTGAAACCTTCCCCACAGTCCAGCTGGGACAAATAAGTTGATAACCCATTTCAAGTTATGAATGTCCAGAGGGCAACTGAAGTATGGATGACCAAAAACTGACAAAATATGATATTATACAGAATGGCCAAAATATATTTCAAACATTAAAATACTGCCATATTTTAAATATTTATAGGAAATCAGAAAAATACAACAATTAGAAGAAACATTTTGTTTTGTTTTTTAATCTAAAGACACATACCTCTCTGAGACGTGGATTGTAGAATCAGGAGAAATTGGACTTTTATCCAAATCTGTTGCACTTTCTTTTTGTTTGGCAGCATATCTTGGACTCAATGATTTGTAGTCAAAGATATCTGAAACAAAAGTCAGAAGAAAAAGGCAGATGCAGTAATGTATATTTTATATAAAAACAAAGTAATATGGAAAATCATTATGTATAACTTTCAGTGATTATTTCTTAACTGTTGACAATCACTTTCTTATTGATGTTCAGTACATTTCTATGATAAAAATCATCAGCAATATATTTAAATTATACCTATAATAGCCGTTACTAATATTTGCCATCTTAATGATAAACTACATCCAACAGCAAGGCCTCTGATCAGGAGCTTTTGAGGAGCTTGTAACCACCTCTTAATTGCTGGTGTTCCCAGGTCAACCCTGACCTAGGGTGGTAGCACCTGTTAGGATCCCAGCTATGGGGAAATAGTTAACCCCTAAACTGGGGTCAAAACATCATGAAAGTGTAAAAATAAGTTTTAATACCAGAAATATTTTATAAAAAATTATAACCAGTAATAAATTTTGAAAGAAAAAAAAAAAATATTACTATTTTTAAAGAAAATATTATTTTTTTGACAAAAACAAATTATTATCAGCAATAAAAAATTTTTTGTCATTAAATAACCCATTGAGATTGATATGCAATAAAACAAAACAAACCAAACTAATATTTTGCATTAATTCCTGACAACTGATGATCCCATTTTTTTCTGATTTCCAAATCTGTTACAGTGCAGAAAATGCTTGAAGTAGTGGAGCCAAAATCAAATTTGGTGTGTGGCAGGAAGCAAAACTAAAAACTTACCTACACTATGGTTCAAAAGTTTGAAGCCACTCCCAGAAACAGCAGGGGATGAACTATTTTTAAATATTTGTTTCAATTTATCACTTTTTTCCAATCAAAATTATTTTTTTAAATATATATAAAAAACTGAAAATTTTGTTTTGTGGATTTAGTGTACTGTGTCAAATGTAAACAAAAATTTGTTAGCCATTAACATTAATTGTTGCATATTTTCATATTATTTTATATTATCCTAACATTAATTCATGACACTTTTTTTAAATCATTATTTTCATTATGTCACTTTTTCATATAAAAATCTATGTTATATAATGAAAATGTAAACAAAACCAAAAATAAGGTTGTTTATTTTCCACTGAATTTGTCAACATTTTACCACAAATAACACAAATTCTGCATACTCTTTTTTTACTGGGGATTAATATTTTATACTCTTTATCTGGGGTTAATATTTTGCACAGCATTTTGAACTAAACAGAGCTATGTAGAAAATGATCATTTTTTTTTTTTTAGTTATATTCATGATATCTGTTCACGTATAAAATGTACTATAAAAAGTGTTGGTATCTGCTTATTTCCTATATAAGTATTTGTCATTAGTATTTGCTTCATCTGTAAAACTTTTGATATATTTCTTTATTAAATCCTACCTGTGATGACATGGATTATAGAGTTCAAAGTTAAAAAATATACAATTTAGAAAGAAATCTTTCTTGCATTTTTAAATCAGTACAAAACCCCCAGATCTGAAAGTAACATTAACTACAAGATGAATCAATAACTCCATAGCTGGTTATGTTGTTATAAGTCAAATATCAATCTGAAATATAATGTCTTATATATGTGATTCATGCTCAACACTGAATTAAGGGCATTAAAAGGAATGTTTAAAAATAAATATTTGGTGTGTAAAATTAATGCTTTTTTTCATCACTAGGCTGCAGACTTATTGATATAGCTATGCACACAATTAAAATAGATTATAACAGCAAACTATACTTGCTCATAGAAAAACACTGCTGACAAAAATGAGACTGATTAATCGTTTTGAAAAAAAATAAAAATGTTAGCAGAAACCATTTAAATTAATTTGTCCCTAACTGAAAATTAAATACTAATTACATGAATTTGAATTTTTTTTTGGTATTTTTGTTTAAAAAAAAAGTTGATGAATTAATGAGTGTTTCCCACTTAGTCATGAATAAAACAATACTCCTGTTAATTTGAACATTTTTCTGATGATGCTTTTCTTTACCAAGTTTTCATGACTTAAACAATGATCGAGAACAAACTCAATACTTATTAAAAAATCTTAACCGTATTTCTCAGTGTGTCAGCTCAAAATCATAAAAAAGAAAAATGTTTATTCTAGTGTATTGTTTCTTCAAACTAAAAATACCAAAGTAATCTGCAAGTCATTATTTTTTTGATTTTTGTTGCATAAGATGAACTAAAAAAAACAAAAAAATCAAAAGTACTACTTCAATGTTTATTGAACAGGTGTAGAGGTTTATCCCTGATTAGGATATGCTTTACTGGTTCTTGCTTCCATGATCATAATGATTTAACTTTTTGTTGATATGACTGATTAGTGGCTGTGACTCTTCATTATGAAGGGTACTGGATTGGCATTTTCCTGGTTGCTGCTTCCAAATGGTAGTAAGGAGCCCAAACTCTTTAGTAGTGCTTAGAGAGGCTGCTCTGCCCAACAGTTACATAATATTGGGCTATTTGTATTGCCAGTCACACATTGATAGGTGTCCCTGTGTATATTACTGGTGGGCAACACTGAGGCCACATTATGCTTTAGTCATAGCCACTTTCTGGCCAGTTTGCATTTCATGCAGAATTCACAGAACAGTTAACCAATATATTACAAGGTAATATTGTAAGGATATATATATTATAAATGAAATTTCAGTAATTACAATGTGCAATTTAAGGAACAAATCTGAATTTTTTGCAATAATAATTATAAAATACTTTATTTTACATAAGACAAAGTTAACAAGGACTACACAGTTTCCAAATGACTAAAGAGCAGATTATCTAAAAGATTTATTTTTTAGATTAACCTATACTGGATAGTTCACCAATTTCTCATGTCTGCAGGCAAACCATTGAAATATTTTGCACTTATCTTCCATGTAAAACACATTTTCCTGATCATTCCAATACTTCACTTGTGTATAAGCAAAAAATATTTTTTATATCTTTCTTAATCCTTTAAAATCCTAATTTCATGTGACGGAATATGTTCTAGAACTAACAATTTAAAAATAAGGATTGTTCTATTTAAAAAAAAAAAAAAAAAATTAAATCAACAAAAATAAAATTACAGAAAAATAATTATTTTACAAAACATAAAATACTGTTTTTTTTTATTATTACAGATCACCATACTTACAAAAAGAAGCCATTTACTTCAAAGCTGTCAAAATGAATTAAGATTGGCAGTCATCAGCCAGTAATGCAAATATCGCCTCGCCAATGTTAATTGACCATTGACTCATCATGACTGATGTGCGCCACTCATGTTATAAATATACATTTTTTAATGTTTTTTAAATAAAATTTAGGAATTTTTTGGTGTAATTAAATCAAGTAAAGATTAAAGTAACTATTTTACAAAAAATTATTTTGACATTATGATTTGTTTTATTTTTAATAGATTTTTTTTATTTTTATTTGTTTACAATATTGAGCTGTGGATTTTTGCTGATTAAAGAAACAGAAAAAAAAATTTAATTCAACTCTAATTAATTAAATCTTATTTTTTTGTGAGATGGAAATTTGGGCTCTTATTTTGGTTGTAATTTTTAAAAAATATCATCAAAACTTACTTTTTAAAATTTTAATTAATATTTTTTTCAATAAGACTACAATTTCAGTTGGTGATGCCTAATAAACTAAGTTCAAATACTAAATGTTTATGTTCACAAAAATGAACTTTTGAAAGACAAGAATTTACTTTTCTTTGTACAAAGATTATGACAAAATGTTTTGTCACCAATGTGCTACAATGGTAAATAGAACAAAATGAATGAGTGAAAATTTAGGTAATCCACTCTCCCATGAGTACTCTATCTGTGCTGGTAGTAATACCAAAATTGCAATTACCTGTACAGTCAAGGCTGAAAGGGTGAAATTGGCCTTTAATAAAATTAATCAGTTTTACAATATTTGAACTGAACGGTTCTAAAATGTTGAGATCAATGCTATATAAACACTTACCTGGTAAGATTTCCGTCTCATCATGTCCTTTGAGGTTTTTCAAATAATTTCTGTTGAAGCTGCCAACTTCAAACTCAGCTCTTTGTGCCCGAGGACTTTCTTTGGTAGCATTTCCAGGTCTTCCAGCAAATAAGCCATCAGAGGAACAGTCTCTCTTTAGAAAATCAAAACTGGGCTTTCTATCATGTGGAGTCAAGTTCTTTGAGGACAGAAGTGGCAAGTTCAAACTTTTATTACTCCTTGGGCTAGCTTCAAGAGAATCTTCAAATTCAATAGAGGCATTCTGGGAGCTGATCTTGGGCTGGCCTACACAAAGTGTTGGAGACAGTATCGGTGAACTGGTTCGGCTCAAAGAAGTTTTTCTCAAAAGCTGTGGTTGGCAATGGGAAAGTTTATAAAGGTCACCATCTGTAGAGCTTCGTTTAGAGAGGAGGCAGATGTTGTTGTTGTTCACTTGCAAGGAAGCAGGAACTGAGGTAGAGAGGTCAATGGTGGTGCTATAGTCAAAAATATGGTTTCCACAACCCTTCTCAATATTGCCATTATAGAAGAGTGCTTCACCAACAAAAATCTTCATGCATTTCACTCCAATATTCAGATCCTGATAAAAACACAAAGAAAAAAATAAAATATAATTCTATTTCTTTCCAATATATATAACAGGGTCCATTTGAGTATGTATGTGAGAGTGTGTTAGTGGAGAATATATATATATATATATATATATATATATATATATATATATATAAGTGAATGTGTGTATGCATAAACATGTTTATCAATATAATTACTTCGAAAATTATATGTATTAAAATGTTAAATGAAATCTATTTAGGTGGTTTCTTATTTATAAAGTTTGAACCTGTATATACATGAATCAAGATGTCCACAGCCTAATGAAGATAAACACATTTATTTTATACAAAACATTTATTTATCAACATAATTGCCTTAATTGTTAATTCAGCAAAGAATCAAACATTATACACAGATATTTTCAGACCAAAATTTACTTAATTTTTTTTTTTTAATCATTTCACCCCAAGCAAGGTGGAAATGCTACTAGTACACAGGAGGGTTACAGAGAGTGAAAGTGAAAGAAAAGACTGAGTATAGGGAGGGGGATTGAGGAAAGGACAAAAGATAAACAGGATTCAAGAAGACAGAAGATGGTGAATGACATTGCATTTAAATTTTTGAAGATTTTATTTATCAGAGAAGCAAGTAAACAGAAGGGAGTTCCACAGGCAGGAGGTGTGAGAAAAGAAACTGTTGAAGTAGAAGTGGCAGTTGCATTTAATTATTTCCATAGTAATGGGGTGGGACCTAGATGCCAATCTAGTATCATGCTTAAATTTATGTAATCTGGAACAAAGCTCATCAGAGCAGTTGCCATGAAAATATTTTTAGAAAAGACAGAAAGAAGCCACGCTACATTAGTGAGAAAATGACTGAAGTTGAGATACCAACTCAAGATGGATTACATTAAAGATCCATGTTTGGATTTTGACAAGAACTTCAAGATAAACAGCAGGGGCACCAGATCAGATATGCAGCAGTATGCAATGCATGAAGGAATGGTAGATTTATGAATATGCAAAATGAACACTGATAAGAAAAATTTTCTTGCCCAACACAGTGACCCAACACTACTAGTAGATGAAGCAATTGATTCAATGTAGTCACTCCACTTCAAGTCAATTGAAAATCTAAGGCCAATATGGTGCAGTGTGTTACTCTTCATGAGGGTACGTTGTTCTAGTTCCACATGCCATGCCTTTTCTGGATATCTGTTTCAGTTAATTACCTTTATCAACACTCCAAGTTTTTGTTCACCTCTGCTGTGGCCAGGTATTGAACTCACAACTCTTTGGGTCAAGTCACTTTTGGATTATTTCAACCAACCCTCTTACCCTGTTCTTGGGGAATTTTTGAACTTATAAATTTAACATATCAAGAAAATTTTTTTTACTAGAGCTCATATTACAAATTCTTGTTATTATGGTTTTTCTCTAGCAATCTGTATTACTGGTTCCCATATTGTATTCAGTTCTATGCTTGTCCAACTTAGCATATGCGCTGATTCTTTAAGTTTTTGTATTTTCCAGTAATGTTCTCTATTATTTCAACCTCATTTCCACAGAGACATCCAGAAAAGGCATGGCATGTGGAACTAGAACAATCAGATGAAATAAAGGGTTTGATTCACAATTCCAATGTATGTCCCCTGAAGAAGGCTGGAGTGCACAAAGGCTGAAATGTCATAAATATGGAAATAAAGAGTCTGAACAATGTAAATAGTGTAAATGAATACGTTTATATATAAATATTTCCCTCTATTATACATAAGTGTTTTTGTGTCTTTATATAAATCTATTTTAAACTGTGTATTACATCAGTGTCTAATCTGCCTGTGCAGACTGAGAATATATATGTGTGTGTGTGTGTATATATATAAAAAAAATAAAATAAATAGACATAATATGTCTAAATTATTTAACCAAACATGCTTGGATGAAAATATGCTACCTATATATATATTGGAAAAACGTTTTTTCAAAATATTACATTTTCCTGAACGTTTTTCCAATTGCCAATAATATATATATATATATATATATATATATATAGAAAAGAAGGTGGTGTAAAGTTATCAGTCAAACTCATGCAGCAAAATCTAAACAAACGTCAATTATGGGGTGGGGGTATCTTAGTTAGGCCTATAATTATTCAGCACCTCCTCATATACCTGTTTTGAAAATGTCAAATAGAATACATTTACATAATTACTTCATCAAATAGATAAGAATGTGTTCTTGCAAGTATAAATGTATATAAAAAAAAATATCAAATTAAATCTTTGATACATAAAGTTTAGATATACATTTTCAAGCAACAAATGGATTTTTAATCCAACATTATTTCTTATTACTAAACATTATATTTAAAAAGTACACAGGTTGGACCAAAAATCCTATATCTAATAATATAGTGAAATTTATGTCTAACAGCTAAGAGAAAGTTGAAAGTTTTCATTAATGACTTATCTTTTAGAAAGACATTAACTTCACTATTTAAAAAAACTGGCATGTCTGATTAAAATTTTATAATAAGAAATATTTGACAAGTGAATATTATATATATATATATATATATTGCATTAAAAAATATATGTAAAACATAATATATATATAATATATATACATAATACATATATATATATATATATATATATATATATATAAAATATACATATAATATATATGTATAATATATATAAACATATATACCTATATAAAATATAAAATGTTTATAATAAGAAATATATTATATATATATGTATAATATAATATATATATATATAATATATATATATATATATATATATATAATATATATATATATATATATATATATATATATATATATATATATATATATATATATATATATATATATATATATATATATATATATATATATATATATATATATATATATATATATATATATATATATATATATATATATATATATATATATATATATATATATATATATATATATATATACATACACACACACACAGCTTTAAGGATCCTTCCAGAAAGGTGCACAGGGCTGCTTGTTTTTTGTTTTTTTTTCACAAGGAGAGCAAAAGAGTGCCACTCCTAAAATTAGAAACTTGAAGGGCTACCGGCTGAGTTGTTATATTTTTTTTTGTTTTTTTAAACGATTAATACTGAAATACTTGAAGACGGTGTCAGCATTTTTTCTTTTGATTTAATTCAAAGCTACTAAAGATTAATTTTTTTGGTAGACAAATTGCTAGAGTCTAAGAAAGTTTAAGCAGGGTTTCTATTTGTCACATTGTCCATGTGTGAGTTTGCATGTCTGTGACAAGTGTCATTTCATTTCCAAATAATAAAAGTTTGTGTTTTTGTTTTCATAAGTAACTGAAATGACAGGAACAGCTGCATCTTAATTCAACTTTATTTTTTATTTTTTTTAAATATTTTTTACACTTTCACATTAATTTGATGCCTTCAACAAGTTTAATCCAATTAAAGTTAGAACAAGCTTCAAGATCAAGTTTGGTGTTTTTTTTTGTTTAATGCAGTATGTATAAAAATTCAATTTATTTAAATTTATTTAGTTTTAAAATATTTACTGTTAGTATCAGATATATTTTAGTTTGTATTTGGGTTCAATGTTAAAACGTGTAATGCTTTAATAATGCTGTTAACATGTGTTTCTAAAAAAATACCTTTTTTGTTTAATTATTTGTTTGTGGCACTAAATAACTATGATAAGATTAAAGTGATGTTAAAATTAACATGACACTTTTTCTGCTAGTTTAAAATCTTTCCAAAATATTTGGAGACACTATTAGAAAGTAATAAAATTATTTTTCAAGCAATAAAAATGATTTTCTACAAAGCCTTGGAGAAAACATTTTGAACCCTACTCTTCTAGAAACTATAAAAACTGGATAATTACCAAATCACCACAACCACACAATGCTGAAGTTCTTCCTCCAAAAATTTAAGTTCATTTACTTTGCCCAAAATGATTGCATTTAAAGTAGGTACCATCACATAAATGCAATACCTGAGATTCAGAATGAATTTTTAAAAATGAAAAATCTTTCTTGAAGCTTTTATTTTAGTTTTGATTTCAAAATAATAGATTAAATTTAATATTTCCAATAAGCAAAATACTTTTTCTGTATTTCAAAACTAATTTAAGTTGACTGGAAGGAGTTTTCATTTTGAAATTGTTAAAATAGATGATTTTAGTGCCATTTTTAGCCATCCGCCATTGCAATATAATTCTCTTTATTAAAAAAATCTTTCAAAAATAAAATATACTTTTCTGAAACTTTATTTGAGGAATAATTTAGTTTAATTAATCTGATTTGAAACAAATATTACTTACTTTAACTTTATAATTTTTAAGATGCCAGTAGCTGTTTAAGGTGTTGACATCTTGACTAACAGATGGAAGTTTATGTAATTTTTTTCTATGGTAGATATATCTGTAAAAATTACTTGAAATATAGCATGAGAACCATTTTTATATAATTTTTAACTACCCAGTAATCTTTAAAATTTTGGAAAATATTCTCCATAATCTAATGTTTTATTGAATTTTATGTACTTGGGTTATATATTTACAATAGTTATCACTCTTATTTTCTGACAATGGCATGTATGGATGCTCATATTTACAAAAAATCAGCATGTTTATGCACATAAAAAAATCTTTAAATTCTTTTTAAAATATTGGGGATTGCTAAATTGTAATGAGCTTTTCCATTTATGATTAGTAAATATAGTTTTTACTTTATAACAATATCACATAAGTGGAAAAAATTAAGACAGAATTTTAAAGGATTTAAAACTTTAAAAATTATTCTAATTAAAATTTTAAAAAATGAAATTCTTGTAAAAATTTATTATTTAATAAAAATTTTGTTTTTCTTAAGAAAATAGTGTCCATAATGTATCTTATTCATAAAAACAATTAAAAGCTTTTCTAATTAAATAATGTCTTAGTTTTGATTGCATTTTTTATTTTACAATTCAAAGCAGATTTTCAGTAACTGGAGGTCCTGTTTTACAAAAAGAAACCGAGGATTTAAATTCTCTAAGTAGTTCTACTTTTAACTAATATAAACATTAACCGGATCAATATTTAATTAAATAAGTGGCAGGTAACTGATTTAAAAAAAAATTTTTTTACAAAGATTTAAAAAAAAAAAAAAAATTTCTAAAATGATTTCAGTCATTTGTGAATAAATCCTGAAAGTTTCATTAAAATCTGACAATTATTTGACTTTTGCAAGAACTTCCAAATCAATGTCTTTTTCATCACAGAAAAGATGCTAAAATTTCTTATACTAATCTTTGCCCCACCACTGCAAAATTAAAAAAAGCAACCCAAATTTCAAACATTCTAAAAAAGGATAAAAAATTATAATTTAAATTATAATCAAAAAATCATTTGTTCTTTCCTCTGTGAAATTATGACAATAAAACTTTGTTTTATTAAGTTTGGGGCATTTTTTCATCATGATATGCTAATTTTTTAGCCAATCAGTGGTAGTACCTACTTTAAATTCTGCTTTTGCCTAGAGAGTTTTGTTCATAACTTCACAATTGTTAGCAAAAACTAATCAAAGTTGATTAAAAAACTGATGTTAAAATAATTAGACAATTTATTTAGACCCTGGAAAATAGTAGAAAAAAAAGAAGCAATATATAGCAGTGTGATGATGAAAATGACCAAAATTCCATACCCCAGTTTACATGTGGATTTTCAGATTATTTTGTGCAGAAAATACATTAATTGTAAAAATCCCTTAAGTTTCAGATAGTTGAGTTTTCAGAAGTTATTTAGTAATTATTGGAATTATTTTTAATGCTTGTCCTGTAATATAATTAGTATATAATTTTATAAATTTCCAAAACCTTTTCCAGATTGGCAATATACATTTTCTTTGAATATTATGTAAAAATATTTTTCTTTTATTTTCAAATTGATATTTCTTTTTAGAGCTTTACTTTACAAAAGTAACTCCTTTTATTTCCATTTAAAATGAATTATCTAAGTTTTCAATTTATGGAGAATTTTTGATTTTGTTATCAGCAAAAATTCATAAGAATTTTTGGATGTTATTTGGTAAATAATGGACACTTCTGATACACTTGTTAAAGAATTTTTTTTATAACTATTATGTGACTTCCTTCTTCAAATCTGTTCTGAGAAAATATCTATTTTTAAGCAAAAAATTAGTCATGAAAAAATTTTTCCCTACTTTTTATGAAGGGACAAGTTTCAGTTAGAAATTCTCCAATCCCAAACAAATCTTGTCCCTAAAATCAATTTCAAATCCAAATCAAATCCTTCTGAATCATCAGTTTAAAAAAAAAAACAA